ATAATTATATATATATATTCTCAAACTTAACTCAATTTGCTATTGTGGTTTATCATTTTCTGAACTTGCTATAGTTTTTTCCTAGTCTATGCTTTTCCTCTGGTTTCAGTTTTCTTGCTGTTGTATATCCTCTAATAATTCTTTAAGATAGGTCAGTGGCTGGTAAACACTCTTATTGTTTGCATATCCAAAATTGTTTTATTGTTTTAATTGTAATTTAGTTGGGTATACAATTTTGACAATGATTTTTCTCCTGATCTTTATTACTGTTGATGAGAAAAATGCTGTTTTCCCTCTATAGATATGCTAACTTTCTGCCCAGCACATCCATAATGTTCTTTTTATCTTTATTTTCTTATGTTTCACTGTTGTATGTATGTCTGGGTCTGGACTTCTCTTTTATCCTTCTTGGCTCACTTTCTTCTGAGAACCCATGACTGTCTTTAGTTGTGGAAAATTTTTACATATTATTTTTCCAAGTGTTGCTTTTCTTATTCTGTCCATTTTGGTCCTCCAAATAGATATGTTTTGGAGCTTCTCAATCTGTCCCCAATAACAACTAATTGTACTTTCATATTTTTTATTCATCTCTTTGTTCCATTCTAGGTGAATTCTTGAATACTATTTTCAAACCTATCTGGGTATCATCTATTAAGTTTTTAATTTAAATGATTATGTATCTCCTGTCTAAGATTTATATTTGTTCATATTTTTATATGTTCTTGTTTCAGTATTGCATAATTATTTCCCCTAATTTGAAGACATTTTAAGATGGATGCTGTTTTTTAATTTACCTTTTTGAGCATATTTACTTTAAGAGTGTTATCAAAATCCTCCATAAACGTAATTCCATCTAGACTTAGTTTCTGGTCCAACTTAAAATTCTTTTTGCCTATCCTTCTCTTATCATCAGATTTATTCACGTGTTTTGGAATTTTAGTTTACAGGATCATTTTGTTTTAGAAGTTTCATGTTTTGTTTTTAAATTTTCTTCCTTCCCTTTCTGTCTCTGTGCACCTCCTGCATATCTATCAGATTTTGCTTTCTTCGGTGTGTTCTCCTCCATTCTTGCTAGCTGGAGCCATTGAAGAGTTACACTTCAGTGCAAGGGTGATCTAGAAAAAAATCTGAGTAATATGGCTTGTCTGTTTTGGCCCAATCTCTAGGAGAAGAATTCTTCCTGAGAAATTTATAACCATAGATTTGCCTTCACTTGGGTTTAGAATTTACAACACTTGGATGGTCTGGAAACATGTATATTGATAAATCAACATTAAAATTGATAGTAAGAAATCATAATACTCTGGGATCTCTAGAAGAAATAAATATGAAACATCCTGGAGGGATATAACCTCAATCCAGGCTACACTGAATTTTCTCACTAAGGCACTGCTGAACATGAGTTCACAACTAAAAATAGAATCCACTATGAGAGATAGCAAGCACAACAAATAGCTGAATTAGACCATAAAGAACTTCAGATAATACAATTATCCTATGAATATTTAATATTTATATAATAATTTAAATTGTACATTTAAAATTATTTAATCAAAGTAAAGAATGGAAACATAAGAAAAAAGCAGATCTATCAGAAAGGAGCAGGAAGATCTGGTAATTAACCAAATAGAACTTAAAAAAGTGAAAAAAATCTACTAATAGAAATCAAATGATAGTTTAAAAACAGAATAGGTACAGTTATTGAGGGAATTAATAACTGCAAGTAGACCTGAAGTAAAAAATGATATTAAATGTGAAAGAGGAGTTAAGAGTCATGAAGGTCCAACATACATCTACAAGGAGTTCCGAGAATCGGAGAAAAGCAATATTCAAAGCAATTATAGCTGTGAACTTTTTATAATCATTGAAAGCCATAAATTGTGCCATCTCGGAAGTAAAACAATAACCAAGTAGGAACGATGAAAATAAATTCACACCTAGACACATCATACTTTAAACTACAGAGGAATGAAGACAAAGGGATGATCTTGTGTAAGCACATACCTCAGGAATGATAGCTTAACAAATTGGGAGCTCTAATTGCTGGTCCACCCCAAATTTATGATCTCCAATTTTAGTGAGGTCCTCTGTGGTATCTGGCAATCCTATGCCTGGTTTGCTTCCTTCCAAACCGTCTACCCTGCATACTCACCCCCATCCACCTCACTCTTGTCATGTGACCATGCCTCCTTCACAGAGATAGTATGTGGTTTGTAAGTGGAATGGTTTTGTCTAGTTCCATAACTTCTCTCTATCCACATGAGTCCTCATTGCCTTCTCTTTCCCCATCTTCCTTCTCAGACAAAAAACCATCTCCCTTTCTGCTGAAAGCACATCCTGGCACAGGTACTCTGAATCCCAGCCTTTCTCAGAGAATGTGTTCCTATTACTGTCCTTCTCCTATAGTTTTAACGTCTCTCTATTAGCTACTTTCTCTCAGCATATACACATGCCGAAATCTGTCCCTTCTTGAGAAACACCAAAAAATCATTGCCCTCATCTTCTCAAGTTAACACTGTCCTTTCAGATCCAGGCTCCCCTCAAAGGAGTTTAAGCTCCTTGTTACTGCTAGTTTACTTCCTACTGCTTTCTCGATCTCCTGTATGATGGTTCCTGTCACATAGCATGCTGAAATGTTCTTGCAGAGGTCATCTATTACCTTGAAATTGCCAGGTCCAGCTGTCATTTCTGTCTTCCTCTTATTTGGCTGCTCCCTATCTGGAAATTCTCTGCCTTCTTGGCATCCATGATGAACACTTTCTTGGCTCTTACCAGATCTTCCTCAGCCTCTTTACCTGCCATGTAAATATTAGGGATCATTGAGATGGTTTTCTTGGTCTCCTGCCTTCTTCCCTTCTAAGAATATCCATGTTGAGGTCTTAGATACAATTAGATACAATTTCAATTCCTAGTCCTACTAATCAGTATCTGTGAGACCTTGGGCAAGTTTTATTAACCTCTCTGAGCCTCAGCTTCTTTATAAATTGATGGTGAGAATGTCTACCTCAGAGTGTTGTATTAGATGAAATATAGTTATGTGTAAAGTGCGTCAGGGCAGTCACTGGTGTATGATAAGGGCTCACTTTTTGGCAGCTGTTTTATTCTTTTTTTCCTCTTCTCTCTTCCTCTCCTTTTAAGAGTAGATGGGTATTGGGGCGCCTGGGTGGCTCAGTCGGTTAAGCGACTGCCTTCGGCTCAGGTCATGATCCTGGAGTCCCGGGATCGAGTCCTGCATCGGGCTCCCTGCTCGGTGGGGAGCCTGCTTCTCCCTCTGATCCTCCCCCCTCTCATGAGCTCTCTCTCTCTCTCATTCTGTCTCAAATAAATAAAATCTTTAAAAAACAAACAAAAAAAAGAGTAGATGGGTATTAATAAATATCATAAAGGTTGTTGAACACAGGTCCAAGTAAACAGAATACTGATTATCCCAATAATGGTTTTTTTTTTTTAATCAGTCTGGAAAGCCAGGCTGATATAATAAATAATTCATTACCTGGGTGAAAATGCAACTATTAAATTGCTTAAGTGAGAAGGGAAACTACTTTTCATTGTTTTGATATCATAAAGTTGATTTTTACCTCTTATTTCCAGGAATTTTGAAGAATCTGAAGATGAGTTGAGAAACGAAGTAGTAGAATCCCTGGAAGAACTTGCTACTTCCAAAGAGGAAGAAAAAAGAGAAGAGGCTCCTGGTTTCACTAAGGGTGCTGAAAAGTTCGGAGGAGAGGGGATAGGCACCCAGAAATATGCAGAATTAAATGAAGGTTTAGAGACTATTTCTATTCGAGCTAATGACAAAGTATGCATTGCTGATGAAAACCGAGAAACATCAACAACCCATCAAAATATACAAGTGTGATTATTGTACTTTTTCTTAAGTGGTAAGTCAGTATCTATTAACCGTAGTATCTGGGCACAAGTCATAAACATTCATTTTGTAAGAGTTTTCTATTTTTTTTTTTTTTAAGATTTTATTTATTTATTTGAGAGAGAGACTGAGATAGAGCATGAGAGGGGGGAGGGTCAGAGGGCGAAGCAGACTCCCTACTGAGCAGGGACCCTGATGCGGGACTTGATCCCAGGACTCCAGGATCATGACCTGAGCCGAAGGCAGTCGCTTAACCAACTGAGCCACCCAGGCGCCCTTGTAAGAGTTTTCTAGCAATCCCAGGGATTTATTAATTTTTATACCAATTTAGACCTTGAGACTGACCAATTTGAGTGTAGAAATTAATATTTTACTTTAAAATTTCTATCAAATCTTTCGGACAATATATGTTATAGGCAGACAGAGTAATGTATCTCTCTTCCTGCCACCCTCCCCCCGCAATACACCCAACAATGTGAATATATTGTTACATGGCGAAGGGGAATTAAGGTTGCAGGTGAAATTAAGGCTGCTAATCAGCTGACCTTCAAATAGGGAAGGTTTTTTTTGATTATCCAGGTGGACCTGATGTAATTACAGGGCTGTTTAAGAGTGGAAGAGAGAGGCAGAAGAGAGGACCCAGAAAATGTCAGGGTGAGAGGGGCTCAGCCTGGGGCTACTGGCTTTGAAGACGGAGGAAGGGGCCACAAGCCAAGGAATGCAGGCAGCCTCTAGAAGCTGGGAAAGGCCAGACAATGGACTTCCCCAGAAGCCTGCAGAAGGAACACAGTCCTGCTGACATCTTGATTTTAGCTTTAGACTTCTGACCTACAGAACTGTAAGATAATAAATGTGTGTTGTTTTAACTAAGTTTGATAACTTTTTAAGACAAGGATGGAAAACTAATTCATTTAGAGTAATGAATCTACCATTTTAGAAAACCGTGACTTTGAAATGTCTTCTTTTTAATACACTTTTTTGAAGCAGATATTGACACTTAAGGGAGTAGGTTAACTGAGCAAAGAGAGGATCAAGGCATGTCATGTTAATTAGGCACCAAGTAATCATTTTACTATGTTTTACTGAATTAATTTCTAATAGCTTCAAATGTGTAGATTATAAACTTCTTAAAGGCAGGGACACTACTGGTCCTTGTATTTTATGCTGGTCTTTTTACATATAGTGCTTGGCAGGGTGCCCCATTAAACAATCCCAGTATTGAAACTGTGCCTGGAGTTTACCAGATATTCGTTGATTTATTGTGTTGTTGATGGAGTGGTTACATTTCTAAGTGGTAGAATTCTGCCTAAGATATATGCTCTGTAATAAAAATACAACTAAAATTGCACATCAATCCATTGCTGAGCTAAGAAAACAAAGATGAGGAAGGGTTGGTCAGATTATTTCGAGGTCTGCTTAGTGTTTACATTTGATATAATTTTATTAAATGTGGGGAAAGTATCAGGGATGCATCCCACATGATTTGTCTTTTATGCCTGTATTTTCCTGGTGATGTTGGAGGTACTGTTCTTTCAACTTGGTGTATTGGGTTATAATCTACTCTTTTCGGGAGAGTGCTCAGCATGGTCACATCATGAGGCTGAGAATATTTAAAAATTTCTCACCACTGTGTTAATGTCAACCTTGGTAACACATGACCCTGAGAGATTGGAGCACCATTAATTTTAGGAGTCCTTTAGTGGTCAATGTATACATGTTTAATTTACTTTCAGAACATTATGTGGTTCAGACATACTAAATCTGTTGGTGTGCTAAACAAATATTAAGCAGTATTTGAATGCATGGAAAATGAAACATGGTTCCTGAAAATCCCAAAGATCCAAAGACCATTCAGTTATACGGGGGGCGGGGCAGAGCGGAGAATTAATGTTTAAGGTCATTGAGTCTGCTCCAATGACAAGATGCTTGGCTAAAGTCTCTAGCTAACATTCATTCTAAGATTGAGTTCTTTGCTGTAAAGTAGGAAGTATTCATTGTGATAAGTACACATATCTGCAAGGTTTTTCAGCCAACTTCAGCCCCTAATTTACCTTACCCATCTTATGTACACCATTACATAAATCATGTTCTTGAGGCACAATTGATTACTTTATTCTGGGTTTAGGTTTAGCTGCATGTGTCAAGTTGAAACTATTAATCAGACTTGCATGTGTTTTTAGAATAGATTTTATTAAAAATAATGCATCTTGGTAACTATGTATCATAGCTACCAAACTGATCATTCTTTAAATGGTGTATCAACTCTTAACTTCCCTTCTAAGTCTTGTAACATATGTAGTCCAAGTGAGCGTGAAGCACTCAAGTATTAGAACTGATGCTTCTTTAAAGCCAAGGGCAGCCTTAGAATTAGGGTGGGGACAGAGGAGAAAAATCAGCTGAGGAACAGTGGGAGAGGTAGGGAAAATTACAAGGGCATAAATTGATTCTAGTAATTTGCATAACTTCTTGTTGTAGGTAACTTTTTTTTTTTTTAAAGATTTTTATTTATTTATTTAACAGAGAGAGAGAGAGAGAGCACAAGTAGGCAGAGCGGCAGACAGAGGGAGAAGGAGAAGCAGGCTCTCCGCCGAGCAGGGAGCCCGATGCGGGGCTCGATCCCAGGATCCTGGGATCATGACCCGAGCTGAAGGCAGCGGCTTAACCGACTGAGCCACTCAGGCGCCCCTAGATAACTTTTTTTGTTGTACCCAAATCTATTGAAAGATTTAGCAGACACTCTATTATATTATAGTCCTGGAGTCTAGGTACATTTACATAATTAAACACAAGTATTCTGAAACATTTATAATTACACTGACCACTTATAATTTTGTCTATGACTTTGTAAAAAACCCCTGAAAATTATTAAAATAAAGTGTATGAAGCTCTGCAGTGTTTTGTAGGTCTGAAATATTCGTTAAAAGAAAAATGTCTATTAAACCTGGCAACCTATTTTTCTTGGGTATCAGAGGCAAGACAATTTTGTTTTACCTTTGAATTCTTTCCCTCCCTCCCTTCCTTATTTTTTTTTTCTTTCTTTCTCTCTCCTTCCCTCTTCTTTCCTTCCTCCCTCCCCCCCTTTTCCTTCTTTCCTTCCTCCCTTTCTCTTCCTTCCTCCCTCCCTTTTTTTTCCTTCTTTCCTTTCTCCCTTCCTCCCTCCCTTTTTTCTTTCCTTCCTTCCCTCCTTCCTTCCTCCCTTCCTTCCTCCCTCCCTCCCTTCCTTCCTTCCTTCCTAGCATGTGGAGCTTAGAAATTTAGAAATATTAGTAGTAGGTAATAATTCAGCATTGGGAGACTGCATGGGGGTGCAAATGTACATATGGGGGAAAGTATCCACGATAATGAAAATCACTTTATACCACAGATACAAACACATTTTGTATCTATTAAATCAAAGTCATATTAGACACAAAGAGATTACTATTCAAAGAACATGTAGCATGTATTTTATTATGCACAACCCAAATAAGAATGTGAATCCCCACTGCTGGGGGTTCAAAATATACTGCGTTTGGACCACTCAAAAACAAGTTTTATAGGAATGAATAATCACTCAGAAGTTCTCCAGACAGACAGTAGCTGACACATTGTTTTGTCACTTTTCATGGTTATCAGTCGTTCCGAAAAAAAAGACATATAACTACATTAGCAATAGGGAAGGTGAACAGATATACAAAGTATGTTTCCAGTGATGTGTGTGGCAAATAAAAGTAATTTTGAAGAAACATGATTAAAAAATGCTTTTTGGAATTTCAGAATCCTTTCTTCTTGTACTGCATCCTTTCCTTCTGCTTAATCCACTTCAATGTATGGTTTTCTGAGGGTAGATGGGTAGACTGCAGGGGCAGTGGCACGAATCTTGCCCCAAGACTAGCTGTAAGAAAACCAACTGAGCTGGAGTCAGAATGCTCAGCTTATAAACCTGCAGGGTTTATACTTAAACAGCTTTGTGGGGCACCTGGGTGGCTCAGTCGTTAAGCGTCTGCCTTCGGCTCAGGTCGTGGTTCCAGGGTCCCGGGATCGAGCCCCGCATCAGGCTCCCTACTCAGTGAGGAGCCTGCTTCTCCCTCTCCCTCTACTCCCCTGCTCCTGCTTCTCTATCTCAAATAAATAAAATCTTAAAAAAAAACCAACAAAAAAAAACCAAACCAGCTTTGTGAGACTGAAGGAATATTAAGGTCTTTAAATTGTTCTTGTCTATAAAGTTGAAAATGAGAAAACTGGACCCGAGGATTTGTAGGGTTCCTTCCTTCCAGCTCCAATGTCCATCAGTCTTCCTTTTCTAAACTGAATCATCGCCACCCAAAGCTATGTTGGTGTCACATCATCCTGGGACTCTGTTTTGCTGCTTTTTGATCTGATGACAGACGGTGGCCTGCAGACGAGTCAACAGTGTAACTGGGAGTAGATGATGAAGCTGGCTGGGTCCATGACTGGATGAGAGGAGTGTCACATGCCCCTAACACAAAGATGTATCAGACTGTGCAGGAGGTCGGTTCACTGAACTAGTAGGAGCTAATTATGTATGCAGAAAACGCCAAGGGTTGTAGGTCTCTAGAGCCCTATCTGCACATCCACATACTTTTCCTGCTAGTGATTCAGCACAGAAGTCATGTTAAAATCAGCACAGTAGTTCTAGCTACCAACTTAGTATCCATGAGTCTAGCTTGAGTCTTTTTTTTTTTTTTTAAGATTTTATTTATTTATTTGAGAGAGAGAGAATGAGAGACAGAGAGCATGAGAAGGAGGAAGGTCAGAGGGAGAAGCAGACTCCCCGCCGAGCAGGGAGCCCGATGCGGGACTCGATCCCGGAACTCCAGGATCATGACCTGAGCTGAAGGCAGTCGCTTAACCAACTGAGCCACGCAGGCGCCCTAGCTTGAGTCTTAATGCATTAATAAGGAGGACTGATTACAAAAGACATTTACTATTTATTGTTACTTTTAATTAAATTACTTTATGAAGGTACCTTTAAAAAAAAAAAAAAACTTCTCTAATTTTCAAGGTACTCTCACATACTTTCCAAATCAGAATCACTAAGAGGTAGCGAGGAGAGGTATTACCATCTCCAGATTATGGATGAAGAATCGGAGTTCCAAAAAGATTAAGAAGCAGCTTGAGTTTTAGGAGGTCGGAGGTTTGTAAATAATGATGCTAGGGGTCAGGCCCGGTATTCTAACCGCTAGTCCAGAGCTCTTTTCTAAATGCCACCTCATTGTCTCACAACACACGATGCTCCCAACAGAGACCGGGCGGATGGAGGCGGTTAGTCCATCGTCACTATGAGAAAAACAACTTAGCACGATGTTCTCACTCAGACCTTCAGAACAGCTCAAGCTGACTTGCGGCCCCCGAGATGTGGAACTGTGACGGGATGATGAGGGTATCCCTCTGTACAGTACAGATGTACTGGTAGCCCTGAACAAAAAGCCCCTCTCACAGACCCCAAGCTACGGGAAGATTGCGGGCAGCGCCCGGGCCTCAGCTGCCGCCTCGGGGGGCAGCCCCGACCTGCGGGGCAGCCATGGTCCGTCTGTCTTTTCACCACGTGCTCTTAGTACGTGATGACGCCTGCTTCAAGTGTCTTTTCTCTTTTAAGAAAATCGTCAGATATATTCAAGATGGTCATCCACAGTGGCATTTAGAATTTAAATGTACCAGAATTTTTCTGTGTTCCCAAGATGTCAGAACCATTCTAAAAGATTAATCAACTAATTGTCAGTCTTCCATTTTCCATTCAACATTTCCTATTTTCTAAAGGGAAATTCTCTTTCCTGGGTTCTAAAGTACAGTGATTTGACAAATAGGATCTGAAAAGCAGGATTATACCCACATTAAGAATGTTCATTTTTTTTCTGTCAGATCCATATTTTTCAGAATTTGGGACAGAATACTAATCTAAAATTTTTTCATTTAAACCAGTTAGGTAATTTTGCCTTTTTCTCATTTTCATTGAAATAAATATCCTGTCTATATACATACTGCAGAGAGCACTGCTTAGGCTGACTTTATTACAATACAGAAAACGGTTAGAAAGATACTAACATATGAAGGTGTTTAGCCGTTTTATGTAAAATATCTTTAATCGGGACAGATATGGCATTATTTAAATAAGTTCTCCACAGAGGACAGGAACGCCAGTTCAAACTCCTGATCAGAGAATCTGCTTACAGATGCCCGAGCACTGCTTCGGATTTGGAGTCTCTTTTCCTCGGACATGGAAAGAATATGAGCCATGGTCTCCGCGTAGCTGTCTTCGCTTTCAGCCAGAAACCCAGTTCTCCCTCCGTGGTGAGGCACGACAATGTCCAGCTTCGGGCCCCCTGAATTGTGGGCAAGGATAACCATGCCAGCTGCCATACACTCAACAACTCCTGAGAAACAAACAGAAACCACGTATGACATTTTGAGAGCAGTCATGAGAACAAAGATGAGCAGAAACCTCCACAAATTATAAGACACTCATGAGAAATTCAAGCAAATGTCTGTTGTGTCTATAAATTTGCTCATTAAACTTCCCTGGTACCAAATAATTCTAAGCTTTTTTTCGTTTTTAAGCTTCAGAATAATGCTACTTCAGTCTTCACTGAAACAGACAAGCAAGAACAGTCTATAAAAAACAGACATACTGCGGATTAGAAAACAAAGTAGAAGACTACAGAATGCTAGCAAGATGGCAGATAATTAATGGTTACTGAAAGGTAAAAGGTGTAAAAAGGTATCAAAGCGAAATTTCAGGAGTTCAGATGAGAGCATTAGAAGGTTTCCCTCCTCCCTCTACTTCTTCTCTTCTCCTTTGTTGGCAACTCTTCTTTTGCCCACTTCTGAACCGCTCTTGTTTTCAGCATTTTGTACCAGGGGCCTTCTCTCGCTGGGCACACTTTCTCTAGGCAATTCTACCCTCATCCGTGGGGCTTCTGGAATGACCTGGACAACGACCCAGACAACTCTCCAGTCTGTGTTTCCAGGTCGGGTCCCTCACTTGCACTGCAGACTCGTGTAGACAACTGCCCACTGGACACACACTTCTGTGTCCCCCGAATCGTTCTAACTCTACATGCAGGGAAACTGGCTCATCAGCTGCCTCTCCTCTTGGAGTCCGTCTCTAGGGGAAAGCCATCCACCATTCACACAGTTGTCTAAACTCAAAAGCCCCGGGAGGTCCTCTCCGACTCTTCTTTCTCCTTCGTTTAACAAATCCCGTTCATTACCAAGTCCTGTTCAGTCGTGCTTCAGAATCTCCCTCGAGCGTGTTCGCCTACCACCTTCAGACCCAGCACCTCGTCTAGGTTGCCCAACACATCCTCCTGCCTTCCCCATCCGGCTCTCCCTGCTCCCCACCAATCCACCCCCCCACGCGGCAGAGTGAACTTGAGGAAACAGAAAGCTTTTAAATCCAACACTTAGACTCAGTCTCTCTTTCTCCCCCTGGCTTCACGCGGCCATGGGATCTGGCCCCAGGTCCCCTCTCCACAGGCGTGCTGTTCCTCCTGCAGGTTCGGGCCAGACCGAACCCTTAGTTCCTTGAGTGTGCTGGCTAATGCTCCTTTGTCACACCGGTCACAACGCCGCTCCCTCTGCTGGACATCCTCCTCTCTTCTGTAAGGCTAACTTCCAATTACTGTTCGGGCCCCTGCTTCCATGGCACGTCATTTCCTCGGGCAACTGTTCTCCGACCACACGCATCTGTGTCAGGTGTTTCTCTTGGGCGCTTTCAAGTCGCCCCGCACTTGCCCTGGCACAGCTCTCAGCACCCTATCCAGTAAAGCGCTGCTGAACTGGTCAGAGGCACACACAGAGCTGGAAGTCTCTGCACACCAGCTCCCGCCGGCTGCGCCTGGCACAGCGAATGCTCGGTGCGTCTCCATGCAAGAAGGCACAGAAGTCAGGCCCTGTACGGAAGCGCTGGACTACACAGGTCTTGCTGCATGTCTGGGCTTCGTCGTGTGCTACCAACTAGGGACAGACAGGAGTGTAAGATAAACTGTGGCCTTAGGAGAGGACACTTCACTTGTATGTTCTTCCGTTTTCCCTGAACACCTGGCGGTGTGCGGCACAAAACAGCCACTTGAGAGATACATCTTGAACCAGATCAGACACAAACCAGCACTTGATTTTACATCAGAATGTATGCATAGCAGGAAGTCAGGGGTAGAGAGTGCAATTTGTGCTAGACAAAACAAGGAAGGCTAAATTAAAGGCTAAGGAGATTAAAGTCAGACACTTATAATGGGATTTGGCAGAAAGAGGAGGGGCCGTTCCAGTAATGAGTAAGGAATCAGCAGAACCAACAGAATTACTGTGAAGAGCCCAGTGGGCTCAGCTTTTGGTGTACAGCAAAATCACCTGAGGGGCTTTACCAAAACACATCTACGTGGGCCTCACCCAGAGATTCCGATTTGGTCCTTCAGTGAGATTAGGCCGGGAACCTGTCCCAGTCTGCAGGTGGGGTTAGGTGGGGCAGGGAAAGTGGGGCAGGTAAGAGCAGGGGCTGTCTGAGTGAGGATCCAGGCTCTGCCTCTTACTGCGGCCAAACAAGGGCAAGTTCAAAACCTCTCTGTGCCTGCGTTTCTTTATTTGTAAAATGGAAATAAGAATATATATGAAGCAGGGTTTCAGAGAGGATTAAATCAGATAATGTAAAGATTTCAACAGTGACCTACACACGCAGTCAGTTGTCAATAAATATCAGCTATTATTAGTGACTACATACAGTTATGTCCTGCAGGGTCTCAAATGAAAAAAGCTTACTTGGTGGACTGGGAGAAGAGCACTAAGACTGGATAAAAACCTCCACAGTATCAACATTTTACCGAGAGAACCTAAAATGTACAGACAGACTTACCAATCCCAAAATGCTCGTTCCACATGGTATGCAGACCAATTGTTGCTTCAGACAAGTAATTCTTTAACTCATCAAATGGGATGTTTATTTTAAATTCCACATCTTCTTGAATTCCTAGATCCTCAGAAAGCCTTCTCAGTTGGTTTACCCTCAGCTCATCATCTTGGTTTCGACAACCTCCAATGAGGACAAGTTTCAGTGAAGGCAGTGACTCAGCCACCTTCTTATTCAGCAATTTAGCAAAGGCTTTGATCTGCAAAGGATGATTCTTTTCAGGCCGGAACTGACCAATGGAAACCAGTAAATGGCCTGGGGTCGTCTTTTTGTCACGTAAGGGAATGTCCAGAAATGTCTGCACATCACAAGGTGGATAAACAATGTTAGTGCAATTCCCAACTTTCCACAGGGAGAGAATGTGCTTTAGTGTCCAAGAAGAATTGACCATCACTACATCACTGCAAGAACCAACAAGTCCATAAACAAAAGCAAATAAATAATAATAGATGAGCTTTACTTTGCTGAGAAAAGGATTCCTGGTAATGAAGGCTGCATTGTTAAATCCAACATTTTGATTCTTCACTACGGAGAGCATGTCCATGCTGATCGTGGGATAATGAACATAGCTTCCGATGCGACAACCGCCTAAATACTTAAACAGAGGAAGTGTAAACGCGTATCCCATTGAATCGATGTAGACGTCGGGAACACACTGCATTAGAGCTTCCCAGCCAAGAAGAATGGACCCTAGACTTTGGCCCAGCAGTGTGAAGTGAGGATAGAGTGAATCTTCCACAAGGTAGCGTTTCCTTAAGAAAACAAACTTTACTGGGTGAGTGAGTCTGATGTTAAATCTTCGGAAAGCACCTTCTAGTATCTGCTGACCACTGACATTAACATCACCAGTATAAACGACATAAACTGCTTCAGGATACCTAAAATAGAATGTAATAGTTAAGGTTTTCATTAGTTTAGGTGAAAACCAAGCAAAAAGTTGTAGATAATTATTTTCTCACAATCATAAAGAGGGTTATTTTTAGATCGAAAAAAAAATTTTTTTCCATTGTTTTTCATTCATTGTACTTGGTCTACTGATGCTCCTCTTTCCGGAGTCTTCTGCTGCCCTGTAAGCGAAATGTTAGTCCTCCAAATAAGACCTTTCACTCTCTGCTATTTCCTCTTCTAAGAATTTCACATAGCGCAGACATCAACAAAAATTGCTGATTGACTTTCCATTTTTAAGAAATATTCAGAAACTTTATTTTGACAACTCTCTCAATATAAAATGGTAATAAAATACTAATAACATTCACAAACAAGAGTTAAAATTTACTAAATGTATCTCTAGATAGGATCATAAATGCTAAAACATTACTCAGTGTTTTTATCTGAGATGCAACAAGATTCTAAAAGCTAGATCTGGTGCCTGCATCAAAATTAGATATGATATAATTATAATGGAAATATGTAAAACTACACTCTTATGACTATTTATGCTTTTGGCATTTGTTCTGATTGTGTGTGTTTTTAGTTATTCTTTGATTCATCAAACATTTATTCTGTATCTAGTATGAGCTAGAGGTTCTGGGGATTCAGAGATTAGTCTTTACCTTCAAGGAGCTGAGTCCAGTGGCAGAGATAGATATATAAACATAAAACTGCAAAACACTGTGATATGTGTTGATAAAGATAGCCATTGGGTGTTGTGCAGGCCTAAAGGATGAGCATCTAACTGCACCTCCCAGCAGCCAGAGTGATCCTTATAAAATGTAAAAAGGATTGTCACCTCTGGTTGCTTAAAGATGGCCACAAATTCTTTGACACTTTGGGATCTATGTCCCCTCCCCTGGAATAACAGTGGGCTCTGTGACTCCTTTTACCATTAGACTATGTCAGAGGTGACATTTTGCCAGTTTCTAGACCCAGGCTCTGAGAGAATGGCAATTTCTACTTCACTCTAGACAAGTCAGCTGTCACGTAAGGAGTCCGGCTATCCCGAGGCTGCCGTATTGTGTGCAAGCCCAAGGCAGTCATGTGGAGAGGCTGCGGGATGACAGAGATGCCTGACCCGTGCCCCCCACCCTCAGCCGCTGGAGCTGTTGCAATTGTCCCAGCCCAGGAAGCAGACATGTTAAGAGAGGCCTTCAGATGACTCGGCCCCAGCTGCCATCTAGCTGCAGCCGCTTGGCATGAAGGATTCCCAACAGGGCCCGTCAGTCCCCAGACGGTTAGAAATAATGATACATTCTTGTTTTAGCCATTACATTTTGGGGAGGTTATGCAGCAACAGATAAGCAGAGTGTCATCCCTCTGTCTGAAATCCTCATAGGGTTTTCCATAGCACTCAGAATAAAATCTAAACTCCTTACTCTATTCACTCAAGCCCTGTGTAACCTGGCCCTGCCTCCACTCTCTCACGTACCCACGGGGTCAGCCAAACTGGATTCCTTTCTGTGAACAAGCCACGCTCCTTCCGGTCTCAGGGGACTTGCAGGAGTTGTTTCCTCTGCTTTGAATTCTCTTTTCTCATCTTCACTGTCTGTTCCTGAGGCAGACAGTATGGTTTGTGGTTTATAATGCAGACTCTGGTAACTCAGTTTCCTTGTCTGTCAAATGCGGGTAACAGTAACAACCTCATACGGTTGTTGTGAGGACTGAGTGAGCTAACGCGTGTAAAGCACTTCAAACAATGCCTGGCATCCAGTAAATGCTCAGTAAATTTCAGCTGCTTTTGTCATTTAGACTAAAGCTAAGTATTACCCCCCTGGAGATTTTCCCTAATTACTCAGTCTAAAGTGTGGACTCACAAATTATCCTATTCGGTTTTCTCACATAGCATTTCTCACCATTTGATATTTTTCTTCTTTGCTTATGATCTTGTCTCTCTCTCTAAACTAAAATCTAACGTCCATGCATGGTGGAGCTGTCACAAAACTTTACCAATGCCCTCAAGAGCTAGATAATCCAGTTAGACAAGTTAATGCACAGAGTTATGAGAAGCAAAGAACAGGAGGGATTAGAGTAGGAGTAGGGAAGGCCTCAAGGAGATGGATAGTAAGCGGAGATTTAAGAAAATGTTCTGAATCTAGGCAGTTATGGAAGATGGCAGAGGAAATGCAGGGGTGGTGGCTGGAAGCCAGAATGAGCCAAGAATATAGAAATGTAGAGTGAAGGGAATTCCGCGTGAAGGCTCTGGAACTGGATGAAGGGGGTGTGCCAGGAAGTAGCGTAACATTGGAAGAATAATAGTTTTCCTCCTATGATACAACCACTAATGGAACTTGGACTTTACCATGTTTGTTCCTCTCTACAAGGGGATCGTAAACATTTTTGGGGTGAGTATGGGGGTGCGGGTGGGGAGAAGGAAGCCTAAAACTTTAAATGACCAGTTAACAGCATACTCTTTCTAACATGGTAACTTAAGACTTCTGATAGTGGTATCAACATCAGAATCAAATAGATGCTTTTACAGAGATTATTTCCTGTGTACCACTACTGACTAAAAATATTCAGGTTTAAAGCGCTCCCCATGACTTGGTATATTTACTATTCAACTTCTTCTCCATGCATTCTTCCAAGGTGACAGTTATCCCCACTAAATTTTGCCATCAAAGGGCAGGTACTTTCCCTTTCTAGTTCTTTATCATAGCAACTAAAATTCAATAGGATCTTGTAAGGCGGGTTTGGCATATAACAGAATTATTTCCTTATTGAAGAACAGTTAATTCCTGGCTATAAATAAGGTATTCATATCTGGATAATGGTGAATATCTGGATAATGATTTTTTTTTTTAAATGGTAATAATAGAGTAAATTAGCTAAGAAAGATGCATACCTACTTTTTCTGCAGGGCTCTTAAGGCACACCACAAAACTCTTTCTCCTCCTCCACCAGCATTGCAGTATGGATGAAAAAATGCAACCACCATTTGCTTTTTCCCATTTTTGCTAGCTGATGCTGACGTTTTCTTTCTCTGTAGCAGCAGTCTGATTCCCCAGAGGATAATGAACAGACATACACATAAAGTTCCACAGACTGTCAGCCCAGGGAGGAATAATGAATAAAAAAATCTGAAACAAAAAGGAAAATGTAAAAATCGACACAATGCCCGTTCAAAAGAAACTACAAATTAAAGTCTGCTTTTACATATCCGCTTTCTATATTAATAGTGAAGACAAAATTTTTATAGCTGGAAGTCTGCTAACAAAATACTCAATTTTTAATATTCTAACACCTATAAAATGTCCAATGTCAAAAGGCAAATCCTCTTTAATTTCAATCTCCACAGAATGCTAGCAATTCAATATAACTTTTCTTTTTAATTGGTAGTGAAAATCAATGATGAGCCACCTTTCTCCTAACAGTGTGTATGTGTTAAAGGATTAAAAACAAATTTAATTACTAACCTAAACAAGACATGATTAGGAATGGCATCTGACCCTCAAAATTATGACACAGAACTCAAGCAATATGTCTTTGAATGATCAATAATGAACTTCTTTTTGTTGTTAAGATTTTATTTATTTATTTGACAGAGAGAGACAAAGCAAGAGAGAGAACACAAGCAGGGGGAGTGGGAGAGGGAGAAGTAGGCTTCCTGCTGAGCAGGGAGCCCGATGTGGGGCTCGATCCCAGGACCCTGGGATCATGACCTGAGCCGAAGGCAGATGCTTAATGACTGAGCCACCCAGGCGCCCCAATAATAAACTTTTAATTAGGTAAAAGTTCGATTATATAGTAAATCATTTTCATTCTCTCACTTGACCTCAAATAGAATAATTTCTGGGGCAAGAGGAACTTAGATACCTCCATTTCTTTTCTTTTTTTTTATTTTAAAGATTTTATTTTATTTATTTGATAGAGAGAGCACAGGCAAGGGGAGTGGCAGGCAGAGGGAGAGGGAGAAGCAGGCTTTCTGCTGAGCAGGGAGCCCGACACGGGGCTCGATCCCAGGACCCTGGGATCATGACCTGAGCTGAAGGCAGCCGCTTAACTGACTAAGCCACCCAGGTGCCCCGATACCTCCATCTCTATTACAAGTTCTGCATCTGATCTGTTTCTATGACCCTAAAATCACTGCCTTCCTTCAGGTGCCTCTAAATGAGTTGCCAAAAATGCACCAACAATCTACTTCACGCACATTAGTGAACTCGCTCCCACACTGACTGCTAAAAGGTTCTCCAACTGCCGGGCTGACTAAAGCTCTGCAAACACAAGGAAGGACCCAGGCTTGTTCACCACTGGATGCCAATGCCTAGCATTATACCTGGCACAAAGAAGGCATCCACTAAGTATCTGTTGACTGAATATAAAATCTTATTACCTCCTCAGATGTCTCTTAGATTATGTTAAAATAATTTTTCGAAGTATGTTTTTAGGTTAGGGGTTGAGCAATATAGGTGGTCCCCAACCCCATAGTTTTTATATCTTGCCTACCCTTTGTAAGAAGGAAGAGCTTGTAAGGCATAAAAACACTAAAATACTAAAACTTAAATACTGAAATTCAGGACCAGGGAAAACAGAGTTAAAGTATTTGGTGGGGAGGGGGTGACAAGTGGGGGACAAAGATATAGAAGCTCTAAGTTTGTACATAGTAGTGAATAGCAGATTGGGTTCTGAAGGGCTTAATGACCCAGCATATATTAGGATATTTTGTATAGTTACAAAGTTCTCCATAAGTAAAAAACACATGAATTCTTCAGAGAAATAAATATCTTATTCATATTTAGTTTGGAAAACAAATTTCTCCTGTGGGATTTCCTATTGTGAATAAGTCTATTACCTGAAGAGGTATTTGACTTATTAAAATGATTTGGTCTCAGGATAACTTTATACTCTTAAAAATAACTGAAGACCCCATACAGCTTTTGTTTCTATCAGGATTTCCCAACCTCGGCACTACTGACATTTTGGACCACATAATTCTTTGTTGTGAGGGCTATCCTATGCATTATAGGATGTTCCTGGCCTCAACCCACTGGATGCCCATAGTACCCTACCAATGATGGCCATAAGAATTATCCCCAGACATTGCTAAATGTCCTGCAGGGGTAACATCACCCCTTGTTGAGAACTACTCATTTACACTGATTTATCTACCAATATTTAGCATATCAGAAATGAAACTGAGGAATTAAAAACATTATGAATTATCCCAATAGTAATGACAAATCCATTACATGTTAATATATCTTAGTTTTACTAAAAAAAACAACAACAAAAAAACAAAACCCTATATTTTCCAAACCAATAAATAAATAAATAAATTCAGTAAGAAGGCTATCACTGTTTTATATTTTTGCAAGATTCTTTAATGTCTGGCTTAACAGAAGACAGTGGCTTTTCACATCTGCTTCTGCATTCAATCTTGGTGCTATGTTGTTTTATTTGAAGTATATGAAGGCAATCCAGGCTCACTCAGATATGTAGTAGGAAGAGGGAGTATGTTTAAATAGCCCTTTCAGATACAGTATTTTTCTGTGATATTATACCAAATTAGACAAGTGGCAATTTCTTAATGGCCAGGTGCAACATGGAATATGAAACTGAATCAATGACCTTTTCATACTCTGTTATATTGAAATATATTGGTCTATCTTACAATTTGAATGAATCTTTTACCTATACATGATTTTGTAACATCATGACTTGATTATTTGGAAATTATTGGTTCATGACTCATGGAGACTTTCCAAATGTGGGCACATTTCATTGTACAATATCCCCAAATCACATTTGTTAATATCACTACCCATCTCATCAGGAAAATCTTTTAATTACTGGAAAGTGATCAAGCTCTGAATGGCAGATACAAGTTTTCCAAAGTTCTAATTTTCACATGAAAGTTCAAACTTTATTATTAGCAACAAATTTTGTCACTTGTTTTCTTTGAAGTGACAGGTCACTTCATTTTCAAATAACCAAGTCAGAAGAACCACAGTTTATCTGTCAGTAATTTTTTCAAGTAGAAACCATGTCCCATAAAAAAAAGTGTCTAATTCAGCTTGCAACTTAGCAATCATACAACCATCATACTTCAGTATGGAGACATTATATAGAATATTAAAAAGATATGTATTCAAATCAAGGGTTAATATTTAACAAAATTAATTTTTACTGTTTCAAGGACATTCTTAATAAAACTGGCTTTAGCAAGTGCATGGTGTCGAAAAACACAAGACTATTAGAACACTTTGATGTCACTGCTTCGATTTGTGCTAATTAGCAGTTTTATCCACCATTACTTTTGCACTATCGGTGCAAACATAATGAAAAAGCAAATGTTATCTTAAATTATTATAAAAATGGTTTTGACCTTGAAGAACTACTAAAAGGGTCTTGGGGACCTGCTAGGTCTATGCCCATACTTTGAGAACCACTATCTTAAAGGATGAACAGAGAGCGCCTGAGTGGCTCAGTCGCTAAGCTTCTGCCTTCAGCTCAGGTCATGATCCCAGGGTCCTGGGATTGAACCCCTGCATCGGGCTCTCTGCTCAGCGGGAAGCCTGCTTCTCCCTCTCCCACTCCCCCTGCTTGTGTTCCCTCTCTCGCTGTCAAATAAATAAAAATAAAATCTTAAAAAAAAAAAAGGATGAACAGAGTTTGACAGAAGTGGTAAGATTTGTGATTTATTTAACATTTGGAATATATGAGTTCATTAAAGCAGTATTATACAGCTTTCCCAGGACAAGCCAAAAGCCTATTTAATTTAAAATGTGGCTGACCTATAGAGTACAAAGATTTTTATGGCATTTCCTTCTAATGATTTAAGTGGTAAGATTCACGTGATATATTTTCAAATTGAACGATTTAACTTAAAATCAGAAAAAAAAATCATTATTAATGACTAAAGTTGAGCCAGTCCTTTATTCTGTTAGTTTCAAAGACACAGACTCTATAAATAAGTTTATTAAACATCCTATAGTACTTGTACATTAAAATTACCCATTTTAGGGGCGTCTGGGTGGCTCAGTCAGTCACGCACCAACCAAGCTCAGGTTATGATCTCAGGGTCCTTGGATCCAGCCCCTTGCCAGGCTCCAAGCTCAGCAGGGAGTCTGCTTAAGAATTCTCTCTCCTCCTCTCCCTCTGCCCCTCCCCCATCTCTAAAATAAATAAATCTTAAAAAAATTACCCATTTTAGAATGTTTAAATATAACTAAAAATATGTGCCATTAAATAATGCTTACCATAGAAACACACAGCTTTCAAAAGATAACTGTAATCAACAGTGAGTCATTCATTCAACAAACACTTATTTAGCCATTATAATGTGCAAAGCACTGAATTAGGGATATTTCAAATGGCAGGGAAGAATACGAAACCTCTGAAAACAGAATTTCCTTAAAAAAAAAAATGAAAACATAATTTCCTGTTCAAAATGTTTTAAATAATCATTATAGAATTTGATGTAGAGGGGACAAAAATGAAGAAACAATACCTGAATTTTGGAGAGAATATGTATATACTGCTATTCAGGATGCTATGTGTTAATTACAAATTTTCAAACAACAAAAATAGGTAGGTGTTGAAAGAACTGTGTAGATGGAATATACTAGGACTTCTTTTTCTTTTTCTTCTTTTTTTTTTTAATAAATACAGGGCAAGGCACGTAAAATACAGTAGTATTACAATAACAAATACAGGAAAAAAGTCTGGGTTTTTTTCACCAAAATGTTAACAGTAATCATCTCTGGATGGTAGCATACCTGGGGAATTTTCTTTTTTGCTCATCTATTTCCTAACTTTTCTACAAGAAACAATGTATTACCTTGTGATAAAATTTTATGTAACTATTTTTACATCAACCAGAAATAAAGATCAATGGATAATCATGAAGCAGAGGATGCAACATAAACTTTATATTGGTGAAAATAAAAAGAACCCTCACTAAAATGGAGTCAGGTCAGAAGGGGCAACGCAAAAGGAACCCTATCACTCACGTTAAATGTCATGAAGAACTGTCAATTCTAGCCTCCGAACAGAAAAATCCTAAAGGGGAAGGAATTGTCAATTATAGACCCCAAAAGAAGAATCCTAAACAGGAAGAAATCATCACTGACAGGCCCCAACAGGGAACGGTGTACATCGCATCTCCTACAAGAGTACTTCTGCAACTCGGCCAATGAGAAATCCTCACCACTCTAGCTTTTCTCCAGACTTTCCTTCAACCCCCACCCCCCAACTTCCTCCTTCTCCATAAAACAATGGTCCTGTCCTTTGCTGGACTTGCCTATGGTTTTGCCGTAGCTTGTGCATCCAGAAATGCAATTCTCTGCTATTCCCGGAAAACAAAACAAAGCAAAACAAAACAAAATCATTTTTGCTGTTAAGTTAGCTGTTTTATTTTTAAGGTTAACATACTTAAGTGACATATGTTAACAGTGACAGTTCCAGTGAGTGAAAGCGGGGAAACTACGACAGGAGAAGGAAGAGCCAGTTTATTCTTTACCAAAAGGAGAGACACGACAGTTTGGAAAATGATTCGTGGCTCAATCATAAAGAAAAACGAGGACTGAATGTGAATAATTTATAAAAGAAGAATTGGAGTGCGAAGAAGAGAGAGAAAAAAACAGGAAGGGAAACTCGATCCCGCACCAGAATGGGGCAGGCGAAGAAAACGCGGTAAACTGAGTCTTTAACCCAGTCAGCTCCAGTCTAATTAGAAGACTCCAAAGTGAGAGGAAGAGCGCTCACTGTCCTTGAGGAAATTGCCTAGAGCCGTATCAAGAAGCTCCTCCTCCCCGCAACTTTCAGTTGCACCGGGCGGACAAATACCACCGTGAAACAAAACGCCTCCAAACCCATACCACCTGCTCCTCACCTCAATAATTCGCACAGGTACCAACCCCCTTTGGTGGTCGCCATCTTTCCTCGACCCCCGAACTCAGGAAGCGCTTCGCTGTTCCTCTTCTCTATTGGCTCCTGAGGAAGCGGGCGGTGTTCTCTCCGCCCCCACGGGGCACATTGTGCATTTCAACTGGCTGCTGGTAGTAGCTTCCCACGGCCTTCCAGCCAATAGAATCTTCCGGAGGGGGAAGCCAAGTTTTCGGCGTGGCGCACGAGCATCCCGCCCCTCTAGTGGGCGGGGCCGTAATGGGAGTTGGGCTGGGGAGGGCGTGGCCAGTGATGGACAGCCGGCGCACCCGCCCTCCGCCCCCTCGCCCCACTGGAAGCCCCTAGCCCGGAGCCCGCCAGCGGTTGAGACCAATGGGAGGCCCTTGCGCGGCTCAGATCGATATTCCAAGTGCGGAGTTCACTCCCGCGGCTGCTGCAGCGTGTGGGATCCGCGGCGCTCTGAAGCCAGGCGCGGAGCGGAGAGGGAGCTGTGCGGAGCGGATCCGTAGCCGGCGCCCGCCACGCCGCACCTTCCCCGCCGGCGGTTGGCGAGCCCTGGGATCTGTATCTCCGGTCCGGCTCTGCTCCGCTCTCCCGCCCTCCTGTCTTTCTCCGCACACGCCGGAGGCCGAAGACCGAGTCCGCAGCGCACCGGCCCGAGGTAGCGGAGACCTGGGAGGGAGGACCGGCTCCCGCCTGGGGCACCGGCAGGGCCGCCTCGGGGTGTGAGTGAGGGTCCGAGGCCCACCCTCCGCTCTGGCGCTCATCCCCGCGCCTCCCCCCCCTCCTCCAAGGGCCAGGGCGCCGTGGCGCGCAACTTTGAACCAGTCCGTAGGGCGAGGGCTGCTGACCCCTTGGTCTGGAATGCAGGGGCCCGTCCCCAGACCCATCCCCGGGTGAGAAAGCCGAGCCGCAAGATGCCACCCACCGCCCGCTCCTCTTCTCCCTGGGTTTTAACGCCCCGCTTCTCCTCCACTAACCAGGTGACCTGTGGGCTCTGGGCCGATCACAGAAGAAATTGGCTCCTCCGGAGGAGGTTGCTTGAACAGGAAGGACAGATTACAGCCAGAGAAGAGGCCAGTCGGAAAGTAAGTTTCCTTCCCCCGGCGCTGTGTGCTCACACCTACCTGGAGGACTTTCCACGCCCACCTGCCGGCCTTTCTCTGCGGCCCCGCGTGGCCGCAGGGCGGTCAGAGCCCCAGCCCCAGGGGAATCGGGGATCGTAGCAAGAGCACCCTCAGAAAAGGCATGGCATTAACGGGTTTGCAGGAACGATTGAAACCCCAGCACTTTTCCATTCATCTTTGTGTTGAGGGATCTGAAGCTGGAGATGTAAAGTGAGCGTCGAGTTGCTGTATAAGAGCTCTTAATTGCCCAGAACGATTAACTTAATTACCTAGAGAAGTTATTCAGAGTGCGCGGATCTCTTTATGATGTGTTCAGGTCCTGCAACTTTTTTTTTTTTTTTTTTAAGTAGGCTCCACACCCCCTGTGGAGCCCAACAGGAGGACTGAACTCAGGACCCTGAGATCAAGACCTGCCCGAGCTGAGATCAAGAGTGGCGCTTAATTGACTGAGCCACCCAGGCGCCCCCTGCAACTTTTCTTTTTTATAAAGAACTATTTTGAGTTCATTTTAATTACACAAGTAACACAGTAACGCGGTGACTTAAAAATGCAAGCAGTACAGAATTATTGAGCATGAAAAGCAGATCTACTTTCTAATCCTTTTCTGTTGATTTACATATGTCTTCATTTGTTCAGCAAACATTTATTGAAAACTTACTGTTTCAGGCATAGTGTTGAAGAGCTGAAAATACTGTGGTTAAAAAAAAATGTGTGTGTGTATATATATCCAGAGAAATCTTTAGATTTTGTATGTGTGTGGGTTTAAGATTTTTGTTTTGTTTCACATAAATGAGATCACATAGTGTATATTCTCCAACCTTTTTTTTTCTTTTCAATAGAACCGTGTTTTAGAGGTTGTTTCAGTTTAGTACATAAGCATCTGCCTTAAGTTTAACCTCTGTACAATATGGATGTATACTATGTGCATACCATAGTATGTTCATCTTTTCCCTGTGAGTGATCCTTCTGGGTGCTTCTAACCCCCCCCCCCCAGCAAGCCTTGCTGTAGTGGACATCCTTGTACATGATTTCTAATGCTGACTCTTGAGTATTTCTTAGGATAGGCATGTAGGCCTGAATTGCTGGTCTACAGATTTCTGAAGTTAACATTATTGTGTGCCCTTTTGTAGTGAAATCTGTCTTGGGCTCTGGTGGTATAGCAATGAAAGGTAAGTGGATTAATGGATTGTTAGAGTCTGGCTGATCGGGGATTCTTGGTGTGATGACTCTGCATTTAATGGAGGTGTGAAGAACATGTGAGTGAGGGATGGCTCAGAAAGGGGGAGACACTTCCAGACCCCTGCAGTGCCCCCACCTCTCTGCCCATCAGAAAAATCCTTATCCTTCCAGATCAAGCTCAAGATGCTTTCTCCTTGAAACTTTGGTAACTGCTTCTCCCAATGTTGACCTCACCCTCTTCTGGATTCCTTAGATAATAGTATTAGCCAGCATTATTGAGCTTACCACTACTAGGCACTCTATTAAGTACTTTATACCCCCCTATGTGCACAAAACCCTTTGATATAGGTCTTATTTTCCTCTTATCACCATTTATTTAACAAATTTTTTTAGTATTTTATTGTGTGCCAGACATTTTAGGCACTGGGGATCCAGCTAAGACTAACTAACACCCTGCCCTCAAGGAATTTATGCCCCAGAGGGAGATGCAGAAATTTAAAAGGGTAAACGAAGGGGCACCTCTGTGGTGCAGTTGGTGGCGCAGTCGGTTAAGCATTCAACTCCTGGTTTCAGCTCAGGTCGTGATCTCAGGGTCATGAGATCTGGCCCCATGTCGGTTCTGTGCTCAGCGCAGCGTCGACTTGAGATTCTCTTCACTCCCTCCGCCCCTTCTGCTCCTGCTCTCTCTCTCTCTAAAATAAATAAATAAATATTAAAAAAAAAAAGTGGTAAACAAATAGTGTAATTTCTGGTACTAATAAACATTGTGAATAAATCAGGGTATGGGAATTAGGAATGACATGGGAGGGGAGATGCTCGTAGGCAGGTGGTCAGGGAATTCTCTGAGGTGGTTGTATGAATAGAGACCTGAATGGTTCAGATTTGGGGGAAGTGTTCTAGGTTGAGGAACTAGAAGGTGTCAAGGTCCTTAGTCAGGAGTGACCTGAATGTTGGAGGATCCGTAAGAGAAAGCCAGAGTGGCTGGAGCAGAGAGGAGAGGATGCGTACAATACAAGGTCAGGGTTCATCTTTACAGAAACTGAGGCAGAGAGAAGAAAGTTGCCCAAGGTCCTACGGGTAGTAAGAGGCAGATCTGGGATTGAGTCCTAGCCAGGTCTTTTTGACTTTCTCAGGTTAGTATTTTCTTTCACACTTCTTTGACACCTGGTCATACCGTCTGATATAATTATTTAAACTTATCTGAATGTAGCTACTTTTTTTGCGACTCTGCTTCTTGAAACTAGGGACCAGGTTTGTATCTTTTTTTTTTTTTTTTTAATTTTATTTATTTATTTTGAGAGAGAGAGTGCTTGCACGGCAGGGGGAGGGGCAGGGAGGAGAGGGAGAGAGGATCTAAAGTAGACTCCATACTGAGCAAGGAGCCCAACCTGGGGCTCGATCTCATAACCCTGAAATCATGACCTGAGCCATAACCGAGAGCCGGACACTTAACTGACTGAGCCACTTAGGAGCCCCCAGGTTTTTATCTCTTAAAAAATATTCCCCAGGGGTGCCTGGGTGGCTCAGTCATTAAGTGTCTGCCTTTGGCTCAGGTCATGATCCCAGGGTCCTGGGATCGAGCCCCGCATCGGGCTCCCTGCTCAGCCAGGAGCCTGCTTCTCCCTCTCCCACTCCCCCTGCTTGTGTTCCCTCTCTAGCTGTCTCTCTCTCTCTCTCTCTGTCAAATAAATAAATAAAATCTTTAAAAAAAATATTCCCCATAGCCCATAATAAGAGGTGTACCACAGTCATTCTTGAATGAATGAATTACAGCAAGATGCTTCCCTCCCCTCTCTTGCCACTCCTCCCCCATTCTTTTCTCTTCAGAGGCCTGTCCGGGGCAGCAGTGACCTTGGAAAGGAGGTGGTGGTTCATGACTGGGTCATTCAGCCTTCACTCTGCCAACATGGAGCAGCTTCTCTTTCTCTGGTGCTGGGCCAAAGCAGAACAGATGTGCAGGAGTGGCACAAAGATGAATTGAGGTCAGCCTCCGTGCTTTTGGAGCTGACAGTCCCAGGTGGCTGCACAGCCCAGCACTCAACAGGTGAGAATGGTCAGCCCTTCCTGGGAGGAAGGCTACAAAAAGAACTTTAAGAAGAGGTGTTGTGAGTGAGGTCTTGAGGGAGAAACACTGTGTGTCAGCCGGGCACGCAGAAGAGTGAAGGAGGGGATGTCCCAGGTAGGGACCAGCATGTGCAAAGGTCCAGAGGATAGGAATGGAAAGATGGATTTGCCCTGAGTGGCTGGACAGGGCTGGAAAAGTGATGGTGGGAGGCCCTGCTGTTCAGGCCTTTGGACTTTATTCCACAGACTGGGGAGTTTGTGGAACCTGGGAAAACAGTGTGAGGTGCTCCTCCAAAGAAAAGGGTGAATGGGGAGGCGAGCTGCTGGAGACTTGCTTAGAGGCCTTTGCCAGTGGTCAGCGCCCCCAGACCCAAGGTGGCTGAGACCCTACAGAAGAACTGGGAGTCGCATTCCCTGTGGAGTTGTTGTGTCAGGGAGAAAGGAGGTTTTTTTTAGACTCCTCGGTGTCCAGAGTGTCAGAGGCAATGGTGGTCCTACTAGCAACAACAGAGAGTGTAGTTGATATACAGGTAACTGGGGATAAGCTGGGGGTGGGGCGGGGGCGGGGCAAGGAACTGGGTAAAAAGCTAGGGGGGCCGGAGAGCTGGATTTTAAGTGCTGCTTATCTGACATTTATCTTCATGGCAAGAATGAAGATGGCCCAGGGCCATGATGACTGTTCATGTTCCAGGGTGTGCAATGTTATTTTTATCTCTAGGATTAGAATCATTACCAAGTGAAATTCTCAAATGTGTGACTTTTAAAAAAAAAAGAAAAAACTAAGTTAAAGGAGAAAAATCTGAGCAGATCAAAGGTCGATGAGATAAAGTAGAGGGCAAAGCAGAGTGACTTGTTATTGTGATGTTACCAACATGGTAAATAAGATTTAAAAACACCAGTAATTGTGAAATCTGTGGATTTGGAATGCGGCACTTGTGTTGAAGCCTCAGTCCCTACAGAAACTCAGAAGTACTCAGCATAGGGCGTTAGAAACACTTAGAATTCTTAAAAAGTTACTGTTATAAACATAATTTAATTGTATAAGCGAGATTTGGAAAATAAAGCCCAAAAGGGTTTGAAAATTGACTTTTACTCTTATCACTCTTAGGATGACTGTTAGCTTATTTATAAACTTCCTTCATTATTTGCTTTTGCTGCATCAGGTTATTAATTTTTAGAAATAAAAAAATCTATTCTTACAACTGACAGAGCACCAGTATTAACATCTTTGGCATATTGCGGTCCAGTCAGTCTTTTCTGTATTTTTTTTTTCTTTTTCTAAACTCCATGGTGTGTGTGTTTTAA